CTGTGCTGAGTTAAAAATAAAAAAAAAGTGCATGGGGTTCCCCCCAAAAGTCCTACCAGGACGTTTAGGCCTGTGTCTTTATTCAACCTCAAATACTATGTAACTATATTCTTCAATGACTGGAAATCTTGTCCATGGCCTTGCGATACTGTTGGTGTACATGCAAGGAGGATCCTGCAAAAATATTGATCTGCGAAACTTCCATGCAAGGAGTGACTTGTGCAGATGCCGATTGAAGGGAAAGGCGTGGCAACCAGGAGGCTTCTCTGTCCGAGAGCCAATGGCAGGGTGAGAGAGATGGAAGGTGCGTGCTGGGAACCTCGCCCAGCAAGGTCCACACCTGACAGTCCTAATGGGTGAACACGCGCCGCGCATTTCAAGCATGTGCACCTGCAACCCTGGTGCCAGGAGTTCTGCCAGGCCGAAGGAGCCCCGCGCCCTACACCGTACCCATCGGCCCCGAGGAGAGGTGACACCCCTGGTTTCCTTACAAAACAAAAAGAATCCCCAGCACACCTGCTAGCTGGCCTTGTCAGGAAACCGATGGTTTCCTGACAAGCAAGGAAGTCATGTGAGGGTAGAGTACACTTTTGCCTCAGAAAAAGAAGGTAAAACCTCCTTCCTGCTTATAATTTAATCCTATAATCAAGAATCAAGCTAACAAGTGATTTCTACAATTAATTGTTCCAAACCACTAAAAATGGGGACTTGCCTTCAAACATCTAATATGGGATACATTTTCTTTCTATTTGGTATTTTTATAATTGGAGGTACTGCTAATGTAGAATTTCAGAAATCCAGAATATTTGTAGAAAAAAAAGAATTACTGACATGTATGAATAAAAATAAACAAAATTACTTTATGTTAGTACATCTTGAATGTATTTCACTATGCATAATGCTTACCCAAGTTATGTATGTGCTTTCTGTCATGTTTGCTATGTTTGCATAGTGATAAAATGCTTGATATGGCACTTGTCAGTCAAATTCATGGTATAGTAATATTGCCAAAACAAATTAAGTTATTTTCACTACATTTCTGTGAGTGAAGACCACCCACCGCAACAGCATGGACCATCACAGGAGAGTGCAAGCAATGATCATTTGCATTCATTCTGTAAACTGTTAAAGATAAAAACTCAGTATTATGTATTTTTGCAAACATTACAATTGTAAGGATAACTTCTCCCCATCTCTTGTGTCTCGATGTGTCTGTACTTCAGAATGTTTTTGGTTTGTAAATGCTATAAGAGCATTGCTTGATATGTTTACCACTTTAGAATAGTTAGCCAAAATGTGCATCAGTGAATAGCATTGAGCTATCGTCATTGTCTCCAAAATCTGCCAGACAATCTCTTGAAGCTTCTCATATTCATTACTTGCATAGACTAAAAAGCATCCTTTTGATTCTTATTTTTTGCATCCTGTAAACGTTACCGTGAGCTGCTAACTGGATAATTGTTTTTGGGATATGAGAAGGACCATTTTTCTATCTTTCACCCTTTGCTTTGGGAAGTATGAAGTGTGCTCTTTGCTTACAGTAACATGCAATTAATTGCTAAGAAACATAAAATATTATCAACAACAGAATGGCAACAAACCAGCCTGAAGCCTAAAAAGGAAAAGATTCAGACACAGTTAACATTTCTAGTAAAAAGGGAATGTTAGGAGTTACTGGGACAAAGAACTGTGCCTCTGCTTATATTACATAAAATTCACAAACTGCACTAAAGGCACAGCTGCCTATTATCTTGTTTTATAATGCAGCAATAAAAGAGCTATATATATAATATCCAACAATATATACTACTATCAAATGCTAGCTAATCCCTTGTCTTTCACAGCTGCTTTACAATACTGAAAATAAAGTTTGATACCAAAATATGCAAGTAGTAATTCTATGGGAGACACAAACATAATGCGTGCTAGTCCTTAGTGGTAAAGAGATAAAAAGCACAAGAGGATTTGTTAAGCAGAAACCATCTAAAGCCAGTTACTAAATAGGAAGTCCTGCCTCCATAACATGGTGTCGACTAGAGATTCTAATATTCCAGAGAGGCTGCAGGGGGGACTAAGGTTCGGGTGAGTATATCTTTGTTATTTTAGACCCTAGAGTAAAACAATCACTAAACCCTTGCAGTGCAGGGGTAGCCTCACTGCAAGGGTTAAGTTTTATTCTTTCTGGAGTTCTTCTTTAAGCATTGTTAAAGATTCCTTTCCAAATATCTATATTTATATGTGATATGTTGTACACAGTGGTGGTGCAATATCCTTTTACCTGTTTGACAAATCGTAACATGCATTAAGTATCTATTAATAGGGAAAGTTATACAGTTTAGTACCTTACTACAAATGTAAAATAATCTAAGAATGTATGTTTACTTTTGAGGCATGTTTTATAAGCTATCCCGCCCCACTGATTAGGTGATAATTGATCTCAATGCAAACTGGAGCGATATATGTCACAATAAATATTCACACATGGTGAACTGCAAATTGCACATTTACATCTGTGACATTGGAAAAACATAACTACATATTTTATGCACTAACACTACACATTCCTTCGGCTAACTGTGATACTTCTATACAGTGCATACCAAGGAGGCCCCAAATGAAGAAAGGGTAAATGTGATATAAGGAAAGTCTAGATATTTGTGTCCAAAACTAACATGGTAACTGCAGCTCTTGTTGACCTTTGCACACAGACACACATTTTAATCAGAACATGTATTTGTGTTTGTAAAGGGAAACATTAGTCTTGTTTAAAGGTGTTACTGTAAGAGATTAGAAACACATATAAAACTGGGCTCACAAATTCTCTCTAATCTGACATAGTAGTGAAATATGCTGGTTTATACACACCCGAACCTTCCAATAAATTTTTATAGAATAGTGTAACTGTGATTCATAATTAACTAACCACAAACCATGGCCTCCTAAACATAGAGTTGCTTATTTTCTCAAAAGATGTGAAAATCAATGTGTTTCTTTTATTTTATATATACTTGTTTACTTTTCATGGTCATTTATATAATAGCAAGATGCAAAGAGTAGTGATGGGGGATATGCCAGAGCAACTAGTTAAATGTTAGCCTTCACCCATAAAATGGCCCATATAATAGAATACTAATAAATGCTGCCCTTTGCATATTACCCTTTGTCATATAACATAAATAAAGTTAACTTTTCTAAACTGTTCTGAGTAGTTCCCTGAACAGGTAAAGTAAGAGTTAAAAGATCCACCCTTAAAAGATATTAAGCTACAGGTGGAGTCTGATATGCTAAATCAGCCCCTGGCATCTAATATGTCTTGCAGCAAGAACTCCCTGCCAGAATTCCCAACTTTGTTCCTGTCCACCTGGGATCTGGGTGTTCCTGTCAATGTTTGCGTGTTTCATTATCTCATGTTGTATTCTCCATAATATAAATCATATAAACAGTTAGCTCTGGAACTGCACTGCAAGGGTTTAGAGAACAGTACACGTCTGTACGGGAGCGGGTGAGCATACACATACGCTGACAGGGTGGATCCTGTCTGCGTCTGAGCCAGGAAACACGCACCTGCACTTGAGGTGAGCATAGGGGGGGCGTATGGCCACGTAGTCCCATAGAGAAGGACAGGGGCTGGGTTCTAAGCACCTGTCTTTCCCGGGAGCTGCCCGATATGTAGCGATGTACGTGCCGGTCGATTCCCGTGTGAATGGGGCCTAACTCTACATGTCAGAGCAGAAATGTCAGTCAGGTATCAGTCTGTCATGGAGCACCCGGGAGTCTGACCTCCTGGCTTAGTTAAGGACTGATAATTGACACACTGTTTGGGCCTCTGACAGGGTAAAACTGGCAATTAACAAAGTATTTATCTCTATTTAATGTCATCCTTATCACACCTTTGTTATATGATGGTTTTTGAGTGCATGTTATTAGCACCGAGCTCAGACAGTAGATAGGGCAGCCTTAAACCCAGAGGCTAAGAGAACAGCAATAAATAATACAAAAGTAGGTAATCCCTAGAGGTAAGGTTGAACTGTTAAAACTGTTTGAAAAGAGATTCAAATTAATACAATGTTGTCAAAGAGCAGGCCATTTTTTTAAATGATGCTTGCTAGAAATTCAATATTGGGAGATCTTTAAGAGCAGTCTGGTAAAGCCATCATTTACAGATTTAGATTCCATGTTAAGCGTTAAAACTATCTAAACCTGTAACTTTTTAAAGAGAACTGCGGCCAACTAAACATTGGTTATTGTGCTCTTGCTATTGGGGGACAAGCACTAGTTCTGCCTTGCCGTGCAATTTGCCATTTAGAGCATGTATCATTTCCCTCCTAGGTTGTCTAACGTAAGAAACCCAGCATTTCATAATAACATTTATTAACAGTACTTTGCTCAACTCCAGGAAAGCCTTTCTGGGAGTATTGCACATAGAAGAGTTTAAGGTAAAACTACAGGGACAATTATTGTTAACCCTTGCAGTGGGGTTACCCCCGCACTGCAAGGGTTAAGTGCTTGTTTTCATCTGAAAATATGAAAATAAATGAAAGTCTATAGGACGTGAGGATGATGAGGGACATTCCATCGCTGGAGCAAAGTAGCAGACAGGCCAAAGGCACCGGTCTAGCAGCTGCGAGTGTATCTTTCTTATTTGCAATCCTAGACGAAAATGAGCCCTTAGCCCTTGCAGTGCGGGGGTAGCCCCACTGCAAGGGTTAAGACTAATTTTGCTCAGCGTTCTTTCTTAATATTCCTGGATACAATTGCAGATCAATTTAACTTTGATGACTTTAGAGTATAAGCAATAGAGCTTTTAGAGCATAAGCGATAGCACGACAATAGAACTTGGTAAAACTACTTTTAAAAGCACTGTAGCTTTTTATTGATACTGGACAACCAGAGCACAATACATGTTCATTTATCATTTCTCTAAAAAGAAAAGTGCTGTGCAATATATTGGTTCAATATGAATAAAGAATACCAATCACAACACATACAGAATCACTTACCTCTTGCCACATTTTTATAAAGTACAGCTCTTTTGAAAAATTGAAGAAGACATTCGTGTCATAAGCATCATCTCCTTTATTGGAGATTGTGATATTAAGGGAAATGTTCTTCACAGCTCCCAATGCCAAATACTCAGTTTTTGAGTCAAAACTGTAAAAATACAAACAAACAGATCATTTTTGGCAATCTTTTTATAACTCAATCACTGCTATAATAAGCAAATGTATCACGACCAACAGCATGTTAGGATTATATAATCACTAGTGTTTATTCAACATGTGTTTGTTAGCTTTATGTTGTAAACAGCTCATGGGTATATTTAAACCATAATGTTAAATGTATAGAACATTGCATGGTCTATTTTGGTTCATTAGCCAGAAAGAAAATACTTGTGTATGTGCCAACATTTTTCGTCATATAGATTCACAGCTAGGCTGCCAACGTACAGTTGTGAGAAAATGTTTTGTTAGATGTTGGCCGTTTTTCTGAATTTCTGCATGAACGGCTTCTAATATGTAATGTGATCTGATCTTTATTTACTATAATAATTACCCAATAATAAAGAAAACCTTTACCAAAAAATTAGCACAACTTTTTACAGTCTTATATTTAATGAATTATTTTAAAGTGACAATAAACTCAGCAGTTAAATCTTAAAAATGCATTCTAGTACTTTTAACTATTAACAAAAATGTATCTTATTTGTGAATCACTCGGCTGAAGATCCTAAAATAAACTCTTCCTTCTGGTCCTTCCTTCTGGAGGGTGGCTATTTTTGTTCCCCATGGTCCCTGTGTGTGTTGTAAAGTAGCCACCACTCTTTACAAGCTCACTTCTATGATGGACTACAGTCAATACAAATTAGTAAACTAAACATGAGATTGTAATCCATCACAGGAGTGAGCTTGGAGTGGTGGATACTTTACAACACACAGGAAGTAGCCACCCTTAAGAAGAAAGGACAGTGTCAGCACAAATTCAGAGACAATTTGATGATCTACAGCTGAGTGATACACAATAAGGTACAGTATTGTGAATAGGTATGATACTTGAATTAATTTTTAAGATTTCACACCTGAGTTTCGTGTCACTTTAGCAAGCAAGACCATTGATAAGAAAAATACGAACTCTAAAGCTGCCCATACACCTTGCGATCATCGAACGACACTTTTTGACCGATAATCGAACCATCGTACAATTTATATTCAGTAGACTTTAAACTAATAAACAATAAACTAAATAAATGCTAGTAGTTGCAGCTTAACCTTGAGCAGAAAATTATTTTTTTTTCTTATTGTTGCACAAAAAACTGTTCATATATATTTTTGGACTGTCTAATTTGAACAGCATCCTTCACAGAATTTCAGAGGGGTTAAAATCTGGGCTCATGCCTTAACTGAGCCATTCTAAAGGCAGGTGCGCTGACATTCTCCTGTTAAATCTGCTCACAAAACATGGAATTCACTAATCCTCAAATGACTGTAATCCAAATAAGAAGGAACAATAAGAAATATTGACCTTCCATTTGCAAATGAATTAGCATTTTATTTTTTTGGACAAGTGAATTGCCAAGCCTTTGAAAATCTTTTTGTAATCCCATAAGTTTTATCAATTTCAATAGCTCTACTTTTAAGTCCTTTGAAATCTCTTTTAACTGAACAATTTTACACTGCAATAGAACATATTATCAGGAGTAGGTAGCCAAAATTGTGCAACTTTTTATATACCATGGCAGCTCAAACTCTCACCAGAATTCACTGGAACACATGACTGACTTGAATACTTACAGGGCTATTCACTGAGGGGTGAGACGGTGAGGAGAAGGTAGGAGAAGTGAACAATCTAGGACAACATAGCTGAAATAGAAAGTGAGCTGAATTGGTGAATTTTTCCAAATTAGCTATGTTGTCCTAGATTGTTCATTTCTCCTGCCTTCTCCAAACTCTTCACCCTTTCGTGAATAGCCCTGTTGATGTTCTTTTAGTATCCTATATGTTTACATACCAATTTATCATTGACCTTGTCACTATGTAAAACCATTGAATCAATAATAAAATACCCTTTGTACAGTTATCCTACTACGTTCACAATACTGCTAACTGCCGGTGAATCAATGTGACACATTTTTGCAGCTGTGTTTGGGAATGTAATTGTTTCTCTAATCACATTTAAAAAAAAGTTAAACTCCCTTTTATGTAGTGTGTACATTTTCCCCTGCCCTCAAAGGTATCTGTAAGACTATATATATGTATCTAATCTTTATCATAATTGCCTCTGCATTCGATTATCACTGGTTTTAGTAATAACTTAATACCTAGATCTGAAAGTAGAAGTCTAGGAAATGGCCTGGTGGGCCAGATTTGGCCCCTGGGCCTGGAGTTTGACACATGTGGTCTAGATGATAGAAACAAGTGCTGGAGGGTTGTAGCCAGAGCAGCAGTGCTGCAAAAGCAAGCCAAGAGGCTGTGGTGAGGATATGTATTACTTCATGAAGAAGAATACTGAAAACCCCTGCAAGGGTAACCTTTGTGTTTTTTTTGGAACGTCTATTAATAAAAGTGGGCAAGGAAGAGCTTAAAATGAAGAGTTGAGTGACTGGGTTCTTAATTCTTCTACTATTTTAAGCTAATCTCCACAAGGCACTTGCTGCAAATTTTGCACACATAAAAAGAAGTTACAGAACTGTAAAAATTATTACACTTGACAATGTGATATAGCTTACCAAAAAAGTAACGCACTACTAAATAAATTACTATAACCCTGAATTTAGCCCTTAGACCTCAAATCAATCCATACGCCCAACCATAAGCAATCCTAAGACTAACTAACCCTTATGTGAAAAAGGGTCTTTGAAATCCATTGCAGGGAACTTCAAAATTATCCCACACTACAAAGGAAGGCACTGATCAATGGGCTACTAGGGTCCTGAATTGGATGAGGTGATTTAGGGTTTGCTTTTTCATCAAATACATACACACTTGTGGTTCACTAAGCTCACAAGACTCATGGCATTGCTGGTGTACCCTAGGGTTGCAATTTGCCTCCATTTCCCATAGACATCTTGAAATTGCTGTATACCTATTCAAGTGGGAAAAAAAGTTTTTTTTGGAGCTGAAGAGGAAGAAAAAAAAAACATGACAGAGGGGCAGCATTAATGAATTGTTTGCAGTGCATTGGGAAATGATGGTGCCCCAATGGTACCTCTAAACTGTGCAGTACTTACTACTGACCCCTTCACTCTGCATTACTACCAGGCCCGGTGCTACCGCAAGGCAAGTGGCCGCCTGAGGGCGCTGAAGGGTGAGGGCGGAAAAAACAGGGCATTTTGACAAGTACTCATACTTGTCAAAATGCCACGTTGCTTGCGTTGTTTTTTTTTTTCTTCACTTACCTTCAGTGCGGGAGAGCAGCGGCAAGTCAGTGCTGGTCCGGTGGGAGGAGCTCCAGGTGGGGTCCGGTGGGAGGAGCTCCAGGTGGGGTCCTAATTTAGCTGGCCGGCGACTGCCAGAAGATCCCGACACGCACGGCACCTCTGGCAGTCGCCGGCCAGCTAAATTAGGACCCCATCTGGAGCTCCTCCCACCGGACCAGCATACTACATATAGAGTGCACACTGCAGACAATAGATGTACAATTATCCTCTGCTAATATGAATCCATAGTACATAACATGTAGTTGTACGATGGATCATTTAACCCATTCATGTTAGCCGATGATAATTGTAAATCTATTGTCTGCAGTGTATACTCTATATGTAGTACATATATACAGTACACGTTCCCAATACACTGCCGGCAATAGATTCACAATGATCCCCTGCTAATATTAATAGGTTAAATGATACGTAGTACAACTACATGTTATGTACTATAGATCATTTAACCCATTCATGTTAGCCGATGATAATTGTAAATCTATTGTTGCAGTGTACTCTATATGTAGTACGTAGTTCATGTACATTACACACGTCCAGTAGACTGCAGCAATAGATTTACAATTCTCCCCTGCTAACATGAATAGGTTAAAAGATCCATAGTACATAATAGTACAAAATATGTAGTTGTACTACGGATCATATAACCTATTAATCTTAGCAGGGGATAATTGTAACTCTATTACTGCAGTGTACGGGACATGTGTACTGTATATGTACTATGGATCATGAATTAACCCATTCATGTTAGCAGGGCAGAATTGTGAGCGCCTCCCACAACCTGAGCACCAAGACGCGATGCAGCGATCCAGCCCAGCAACGACTACAAGAGGCACCGCGTGAGGCAACAAGGATCGGAGTGAAACTGTGAGTGAGGGAAGCTGGGACGGGGCTGGCTGTAAATCTATTGCTATAGTGTACTGGACGTGTGTAATGTATATGTAGTACATATATACTGTACAGCACACACCTCCACCACACTCCAGCAATAGATTTACAATTCTCCGCTGCTAACATGAATAGGCTCAATCATGATCCATAGTACATAACATGTAGTTGTACTATGGATTATTTAACCAGTTAGTGTTAGAGAATAGTTAGTGTTAGTGAAAAGGGAGTGCGGTTAGTGTTAGTTTATGGTCCTGCTCAACATATTTTGCGGTTCTCCATACTGTTACAAGCAGGGGGGCGCAAAAATGCACCTTCGCCTTTGTAGGCAAAAATCCTTGCATCGGCCCTGATTACTACTGACTTATAAACTATGTGTTACTTACTACTGACCCTGCATTTCATAATGCTGACTTCTGAACTCTGCGTTACTTACTCCAGACCCCTGAAATCTGCGTTACATTCTACTGGCCAATGAACAATTGCATTACTTAGTCCTGACCATTGTACTATGCCTTACATACCGTTGACCTCTGAACATGCATGACTTATTCCTGATGCTTGCACTGTGAATTAAGATAAATGCCAAGTTTCCCACGTAAGCTACAATGGTAGAATAGGTTTATATTTTGATAGTGACATTATGTATTATTATATTTTTCTAAGTTTTCTTCAAACTTTAGCTGTTTTTTAATAGGGCCTTGCTTGGTTATTTGCTTATCAAACTGCACTGCAACCTGGTGATCATTGATATCTTCCATGTTGTACATATAGATCTCCACTGCCTGCCAGCAATATGAAAAACCTTACTCCTGACACTTCTCTTTAG